GATGTGGCACTGGCAGGGCTACGGGGGGGGACCTATAAGCCCCTCTGCCCGCTAGGAAACTCTGCTAGCCTAATTGTGTAGAGTGGACCTTAAAAGCACGTTTTGTATTGCTCTTAAAGCATATGGATGCTTTTGCAAGTCTCACGCAGTGTGTAATGGCGTTAAACTGCATCCCTTTCAGGTGGTGAGGTGTGCTAGCAGCTCTGATACACCGAGGGGTTAGAAAACCCAGGTGCTGACAGAAGAGTGTTATCCGGGCTTGAGGGCATTTGGAGTGAGTTTGGCTATTGCCTCCAAGGGAACCAGGATTGCACAGGTTTCTCCTGTTGGGGGCTTTGCATAAAAAGAAGTTGTGTTAAGGATAGACACAGGTATCCTGGAAAACTTAAGATCACCAGTCTATCAGCCAGAGATTCCAGGACCTTGGCAAGTAAACATCCATTATTCTCCCTTTGAGGAATATTGCAGTGTGTTATTAAAGCTGGTGAGTGATGATTGTGCCATCACTTTAAATTACGGTTTAAATTACACCAGGAATCCTTTGCTAATATAAATCTGTCTACAGCTTTTCATAAGTTGTATTCCTGATGGGGAGCGCTGACCAAGAGAAGGAGGGTGGCAGTCGCATAAGTTAAAGATGAACAACACAAGTGGGAAGAATGTAAAACTTATGCTTAGCATTCGATTTAACATGTTTTTGTCTGAGTTTGGTGGGTCTTACTACCTCAGCAGAAATTTACTGTTATTGTGCAAAATAATACAGTTCCTCTTATAGATTTTCTGTTGCAAATGGAAAATTTGTATTTGGAGACATGGAGTGGAAAATGTTATAGAGGGTAGGGTTCTGGTAGCACATTATTTTAAGCTTCTTATTTATTATTTAATACCACACAAAGCCATAAATCAAAGCAGTACTTTATGAGTTTGAAGCACCTCTCAACTTCTGAAAGATCTAAAACAGGCTAGAAAACCAGACAAATACCGGAGATGAGACCTTAAAATGTAACAGGGGAGGTGGACCTCTTCAGTCCTCAGAAGTCTTGATCCAGGTATGCTGGGCATCACTTTGGTTCTCCCCTCTGCCCTTCTTCCCTCAAACTTCTAATGATTGGTGTTAATTTTAAGTTGGGGCCCTTTAGGGGTATTCAAGCATTGGATGAGTTCAGCTGCCCATTGATATTAATGCAGCACCATCCTGAGCTGCACATCCACCTTCCCCTTCATGAAGAACAAAGACAAAATTAAGGGTTTTCAATCCCCTTCTTGAGGGCTGAAGCATGGCTTTTGACTCAGTGCTTTTTCCAAAAATATGCTTTTTGGTTCATAGGAGAGCTAAGGGCTATATGCTATTTTTATGAGCATAATTTCTTGTGGATGGATTGTGTCTGGTGTCCTTATTGCATATTTGCACTTGTCATTAGAGAAGTTTATGTTCTGATAACTGTGCTTACTTAACACAGGTTCTATAACACCCGTGGCCTTCTGGATTTACAGTTATCTTCATTAAATAACCCAGATGATGCTGTCCAAACAAAAGATTCTAATGCCAATATTCTTATCCCTCATATTAATATTTAAAAATTAATCTGTAAGTTCACAACCCAAACACTCATGAGAGATTGGAAGAATATTTCTGCAGAAATCAGTTGGATATCAGAATTACCAGAAGAACCTTGTCTCCTTTACTGTGCTGGGAGATGTGAAGGAAGAGAGAGATGTTTTACACAGTCCTGAAAGGCAAATGTCCCTGATAAGCCTTAGAACAGATGAACATGCCCAAAGCACTAGGGCTTGCTGTGGGAGCAATGTTTCATGGAATCACTCAGTCTTAGTACTTAGTACGCACAGAGAAATCTATTTCAATAGGGAAAAAGTAACTCCCTATCCTAAATGTTTTTAGGCAGTTTTAGGTAACAGATGTTACCAGTGCAAGGGAAGACATTTTGATCATTATGTTATTTTGATTTGACTCCAGGTGCTGAGGATACTGACTCCATTTCTGTCCAACATGGATGTAGTTCAGTCAGCCTCAACAGAAATCACGACTGCTGAGAAATCCTTCAAGAAAATACCCAGTGTCCTTCTGGACAGCCTAGTGGAGGAACCTAAAAAAAGATGTGCTGTTCCCAATCACCTGCTGGAAACAAGTAAGTTTCAGCTTTCTGTTGCCCAATCTTGGAGCAATTCAAGGAGGCACTTCATTATTATTAGGTTTTTTTGTAACTCATAGGCAAAACTTCCACCCTGCTGCTTAAATTGTGTCTTCCTGTGAGCCCAAATCATAGGAGAGATAATCAGAAAGACTAGAAAGAAAGAAATAGTGCTGTGAGGATTCTGGCACACCCTAACATTTTGAGGTGGCTTACTGAAGCCATGATTCCAGGAGGAAACTGGCGACAGAATCATGGTTCTGCTGGGGTAATAGATGCTGCCCTAACTTTCCATATAAAGAGTCATGCCTGCTTACAGGAGAAATAATCTGTCTCTTTTTTTTTTTCCTCTATAATACATTGGTTGCAGCATAAAATACTTAATCAACATAAGTAACAATCATCATATGTGTTTCATCTGGTCTCCTTTTCCCTTGTTTTATTTTCTATCTCTGTAGAGATTTATTCAGAACGTCACAGGAGCAAAGTTGTACAGGCTGAGCCTGCTGTGCTGCACTATGGAGGGTATGAAGTTGGAAGACATCACCAACAGACACTGGTAAGTGTCCGAGCAGGGATCCTCTTGGGGCTTATAAAAGGATAACAGAAGCTGAGTAGACTGCTTGTGGTTGTGAGGCCTTTTGCTCTCTAGACTGCTCGAAAAAGCAGCACTTAAAATGAGCGGCCCTGCAGTAACAAAATAGATGAGTACCATGCTGTGTATATCACTGTCCTTTACCTTTCTCTGTTTTACCTTTCTGCTTCCTGTGTCTGCAAGTACTGTTAGTGAATGTGACTTGCACATCACTGTTGAATGATTCATGCTTGAACTCTGTAAGAGACTGCTCTCAAAATGTACTTGAATTGTCACTGTGTCTGCAAACCTGTTCACTGGTGGGAAAATTTTGAAAGCACTTCTGGTCTTCTGCCAAGAGCAATTTAATCTAAGGGAAGAAACAGTGCATGGGTTTGATTACCTTTCCTAGTTTGGGTATTTCCTTTTCTTCTCTCTGCTTTCTCTTTGACTGCCTTTTTTTTTTCATGTTGTGAGTGTTTTGAGGCAGAGGTTGGGCGATTATGGTGGACTAGGTTCTCCAGGTATAATGAAAATAATCAGGATGCAGGAGGCTTTACAGGCTGAACTGACACCATCCAACAGTTTGTTGCTATGTAATCCAAAACAAAACCATGGAATATTACAAAATTTCTGTTGTTTCAGACCTCTGTAGAAGTGAAGTCAACAGGTTGTTTAATTTTTTGTTCATTTTGCACATAAGCGAAACAGGACCAGAATTTGATTCAACATCAGCATTGTCTTTAGCAAGACTGTTATTCCTAGGTAAGGAATTGTGACTTGGTTCCAAAGACTAAAAAAGCAGGATGCAAGGTTTATGTAATTTTCTTTTAAATTCAGAGCATATTCAGAATTATTTCTACTAAAGTAAAAATTATTACTTCTTTGCTATGTGTGGCTTTACAAAAAGTACAGTTGACATTCTCAATTGACCTCTTGTAAAGTGTTTTGTGGTTTGTTTTCTTTTGTTCTACAGAAGCTAATAAATACTTCTGTTGATGTAATAAGCCTTCACATAATACCACCTCAGACAAAGTATTTTCAGATCAAATACAACAAAACAGTAAGTGTCAGAAAGCCTTCACACTGCTCTTTGCATGCAGCACTGGTTTTGTGTCATATAAGCAGCTATTACATGTCTTCTGTCTTATTTTGGGTGATTTTCTAGCACCGGCTTGTCCCTGGCTTGTCATATGTGATTACTGTTGACTTTTGTCCTGATGAGTGGCGGTACTACTATGACTGCATCCGAATTCACTGTCAGGTGAGGATTTATTATAAAATATATATACAGTTGTAATGGAAAGAAACAACTATTAGGACATGATGACAAAGTAAAGGTACAGTTAATCTCCTAGAGCTGCATGGATTTACTCAGAGTAAGTCTGGATTGGAGTATTTAATTTTAAGCATTTAAAATTTTTCTCTCTGTAAACATCCCGAAGCTGTGGGTGGAATATCTTCCTTATTCTGTTATTCTTTGCCAGTAGGTCAGTCTTTGTGCCACACTGGTGTAATGTCTTAGCTGAACAGGCTTTCAGGAGCTCTAGAGAGCTGCTGAAAATACAGAAATACAGATGGATTCTGAAAGCAGGTAGAATATCAATATCTTGAGGAGCAACACAGTGATGAGCTCAAAGATGTTTTGTGCCCGCTTACTGGCCAACTGCTACAAAAGCATTTTCTTTCCATAATGTTTATTCATTGTAAGAAATAAGTATTTACCTCTTTTTTTATTTTTATTTTTCCCCAGGGGGATGATACATTAGTTGTTCCTGTGCATGCTTACCCTGCTATGAATGTTGTAGAATTTCCATCATTTATAAATCTGTCTGATGTTCCAGTTGGTCAAAGGTGAGTTAAGGACAGTCATCTGTCCACATGCACGAAATCTGAAAAATCTCCTTTTTCTCTGTTCGTACAACTTAATGTATTGGAAGCTTTAAGGAAGTCAGCTACCATCTGGACTGCAAAATAATTCTGTATATGAATAGTTTCAGGCACATGTTCACAGGAAAGTAAACGCTGTGCAAGCTAAACATACACAAAGATGTAACTGGGGTATCAGTAAGTCTAAATTGGTGCTGGCTTACTTCACTCATCATATGTGAAGCAATATGGCTGCTGTTTGTAACCTGTCCACTCCCAAGTGCTATGTCCTTTCCGCATTAATAAGTGAATGGATCTTCCTTTCAAGATGAAGTACTCTGGAAATGAAGTTATGGTAGGTGTAAGTGATGGCAAATAGCTAACCTCAGTCCAGATGTTGATCAGTCTTTAGATTTGCTTCTTCTGTTCAAAAACAGTTGAAGTGGTATTCTGATGTGGAGCTCTAAATAGCATAGATTTCGTCTTACTCTCTGTTGCATTGATGTAACATTGACTGTTCTCACGAAGTAATCGTAGTGATTTCTAATAGGAACTGGGGAAGGGGAAAAGGAGAAGGGAAATCCTGTTGATTAGGATCTAGTTCTGTAATATATTGACTCTATTAGTTGTAATTATGGTGATATGTGTCACTGTAAAGATGTGAGTGAAATCTAGGAACTGAAGGTCTTAGCAGCTAGGTTTTTTCTTAGCCTGTGAGCTGGAAGCAACTTACGAATTTTACTGAAGCACAGAAATAAGAATAGGCAAAGCACATGCAAGGAACATGCAAATTCTTCAGTAAAAATGAGCTCAGCATTGCAGAATGAACATTTGTGTCTTTTTGTTTATTTGTTTTTCTAGTCCTCCTTAATCTGCTAAACTGTACTGAATACACAAAAGTGATGTTACAGCTTTCTCATGGGACCGAACATAACTCCTGATTTTCTGGGTGCCTCGAGGCATGATGTGATTCTATTTATTTCCTCGATTTTCACAAGTGCTGAACTATACAGAATTTTCATACTCTCAAAATACAGAGAAGATATTAGACAGAGTACAAAATACATTTTTAAATACTGGGAAAAAATTTCAATGCAACAGGGATGCTCAGAAATGCCTGAGGGAATTTGGAATTGTTCCTGAAGAGAAAATCGATGGTTTCAAACCTCAGCATTTCATCATCGGTCTATTAAAAACTTCCCTAAAAATGAAAGCTCTCTGAAATACTTGGTACTGTGCAGAACTCAAGGGACTATGGGCTCAATCCATAGCCCACTGAGATCAATGGAAAAACTGCCTTTTACTTCCAGTAAGCGTAGGATAAGGCCTGTGTTCTACCACCCAGCTTTCTCCTTAGGTGCAGAAGGTCCATCATGCAACAGGCAGCATAATTGTCTTAGTTCTAAGGCATTTTGGTTACAGTACAAGCTGCACTATACCTTAAATTGCCTCTCCAGTCTGCTGTTGCATGTTCTTCCTGAACAGGTGTACAGAAGCAGCACAAAACACACTTTGCTATTATTGTTTATTTCCTCAGGCATTTCAAAATGTGTTTTCCAAAGGAACACTCTATAACATGCATTCTTTGCGAATCAGCAGGGTAAGATTTCAGTCAGACAGTTTACAAGTACCAGAAACAAGCCTGGGTAAATTGGTCTTGATATGTAGGATGATGGATGGTATTATACCAATGCTTTTGTATTTCAACTTGATGCATGAAAATAGACGCATAAAAAAGCAAGACAGCGTGAAAAGATATGTGCTAATACCCCTCACATAACTTGTGTGAGACATAAAGGACTTTTATGAAAATCAGGCCATTGTGTCGTTATTTCTACAGTGGTTAAAATACAGTCATTCTGTTGGAGTTTTCAACACTTTTGAATAGTGCACAGTGTTTTCTCATCCTCTTTCACAAGGAGGGCTGTAGTAAAAGACTGATTTCTGGTTCTGTACTTACTGTTGCTCTCATTTGGGTTGTTGATACTTGCTAGATATTGCAGTTTGTAAGAGTTTGAGGACACACATAAATAATTCTCAAAAGTAATTCTTTAATTTTTTTCTGTAATCAGATTCTGTATGAGTAGGAGAAAGTAAGTTGAGATGTAAAATATCCAGCATTTGAATCAAGATTAACTCTCATTTCCTTACTGAGTGAAAGATCTGAAATACTTTGCTATTTTGGAACAACAAGGAATGACTGTTCTCACACTAACAAGTAACCCATCCCTCTGAGCACAGATAAATTTAGTGCATATAGTGTATAATATAATTTTCCAGTTTGTAATTGATGGTCAACTGTAGTTCTATTAATTTATTTCTTCCTTTCTCTCTTTTCAGTAAGAAGTATGTTATCCCGTTGCAGTGCAGCTGTCCAGTAGATTTTGAATTTCACATTGATTTAATTCAGCCTCACAGAGCCTTCACTGTCCAGCCAACATATGGTAAATTGAACTTATTTGAAATTCTAAATGTTAAACCCGTATTTATAGAGTTACTTGTGACAGTGTATTCAGTGCTGTACAGTAAAAGCCTTTGCTTCAGAGTGTTTCCAGGTACATGCAGGATAATTAATAGGAGTCATATGCAGCCTCCTGGCAAACAGCCTTCTGTGGCTGGTACGTTCCTTTTGTTAATGCCCAGCTGCAGACCTCTGGCAAAATACAGGATGTCCCAGGCAGTCCATCCAGGCTTTGTCTTCTTTCTTTGCCAGTGTAGCCTTTTGAAAGGAGAGGGGCAGGAAGCCCAGCCTTCACCTTTTTATCACACCTTTCCCCAAGGACTGTCTGGTTCCTGCCCCATTAAAGGAACATCTGTCTTTCTGGAATAGGCATGCATCACATTACTTGATTGGGGGCACAGGAAATAAAAGGTGACTTCTGCTCTATCAAACATATCCCTATACCTGTTTTTCTCTGGTGGTCTGTGAGAATTTGGTAGACTTTTATCTGGTACTTCAGGAGCTGTTACAGTGAAAGGCACAAAACACATCACTGCAGGTGTTTCATGGGAGGCTGTGCATGTTAGATTCAGCCTAGACCTATGTGTACAGGCTTTATAAGAGGATGAGACTTTTGCCTACACTATGCTCAACTATTTTCATTCCTAATGCAGGAGAGGGCTCTGTCTTGAGACAGACATACCTTTGCTGGTCCGGTGCTATCACTGTTACATTGGCCAGATGCTGGCAGAAGCATATAAGTAAGTGCCAAGGTGTTCTGATAAAAATGTTTATGCAGAACTGGCTGCATAATTCACCTAGGCATTCTGGTCAATTCCATGGAAATACATAAAGATCTAAATAAATAAATAAAAACCTTAAATCTGGCACTTAGCACCATTTGTGACACTGGAATTTAAACTTTGATTATTTATGCACTACAATAAAAATAGCTGTTGTTCCTGTATGCACAGTGATACGAGTTTTCCCTGTCTTGTCAGATGGATTTTCATTCTTCAGAAGTAGCAGTTGGATTCTATCAGATGTGTGGTTCACAAAGATGAACTATCCTGCTACTTGATTGGGGTCATTCTTTCAGGATAATATTCTTTCTTATTTTGTGCTTGAAGAAGTTTTGATGTATCAAGGGAGGAAAGGAGCAATATTACAGTTGAATAAAACAAGAGAGAAGTTGTAAAATTCATCAGGAAGTTTTTTGGGTTTTGCAGTCATAGACAAAGTAGCTGGAACTAATTCATGCTTTCTAAGTTGGCTTAGTTCTTGGAAGAAAGGGCAACAAAACATGCCAGTAAAAACATCAACCCAGTAACAGTGAAGTCAGAAACTTTGGTAGCTGGGAATTCTGAGGCACTGAGTGATACCTGAAAAGCACTAAGAAGTTTTAGCGCCTCTTCAAGTCATTGTATGTGAGATAAGATGAAATAATATAAGAAATTCCACACACATACACAAAAACCCAAAACACCCCAATGAAACTAACTGATGTTTAAAACTACAGGATGCAGAAAACTAGGCAATGGCCACTTTACAGAGATGAGAAATTAGTATTTCTGATGAGCTGAATAAATATGTTGCAAAATGCTGAGAAGCATCAGGGCTTGTATCCTGGCATTGCACTAAATGTTTAGGGGTATGAAGGGTGGTTAAAGTGGCTGAGAAAATAATGGAGTAGGTAATAAAGAAATAAGACCAAGTAGAGACAGGCAATGCATCAAATCCAGTTGATTCCCCAACTTGGAAAAAGACAGAGGAATACATTTATAATGCTTTGTTCATGAAAGCAGGATGTGCCAGAGACTTAAGACTGGCAGAAGCAAGTGAAGAATTTCTACATATAAACAGGCAATCATTTTCACAATAGTAGGAAATATTATAGTCTTACTGTCAAATCTCTGCTTTTGCAAAATATCTCCATTATCTGTCAGTGGATAGTTCTTGAAAGACACTTTGAGACCTGAAATCTTTTCCAGGCCTACTGCCATCCATTCAAATACTATTTTTAAAAAATGTAGTCCAGAGTCAATTTTAGCATACTTAAGTGGGCTCATGTTAGATGGACTCATTGTTTTTCTCCTCTAATCACAGGAATCATTCCAGGCAATGGGAAAGTGGAATTAACTGTGAAATATTCCCCACTTGCGTATGGAACAGCACAAATGACAATGCAGTTACGGATTTCACAATTTAAGTCAAAACCCTATGTATGTGTATTCACAGGAACATCAACACCACATCTGGGTCTAACGTATGTGTAGCTGACTGATCTTCAAGTATTTTTGCCCAGTGCTAAAAGATACCTATGTAATAGGATTTCATGCCATTTGTTGTAATCATTTTAAGCATTTGAATCTATGCACTTGTGTAATTTGACTGTTAATACATGTATCCATTCCTCTACATCATTGTCTCAGAATGCCCTTAATCTGTATGAAGTGAAACTGTACCAAAATAAACATAACAGTAGAATCACAGAATGGTTTGGGTTGGAAAGGACCTTAAAGATCATCCAGTTCCAACTCCAATTGGCAGGGACACCCATGGCAGGGACACCTTCCACTAGATCAGGTTGCTCAAAGCCCCATCCAGCCTGGGCTTGAACACTGCCAGGGATGGAGCATAATGGAAAATTACATACCCTTAAAGAAGTGTCGAGCATCCCCAGTTTCTATTATGACTGTTCTATGTTATTCTTATTGATGAGGCCTTGCAACATACAGGGAGTTTTGAGCAATAAGGTCTTTTGGGCTGCACTTATTTTTTTGTGAACTCTGAAAATTAGAAAGTTAGCTTCCAAATGTAATTTGGGAGAGACATTTCCAGTCTCCTTGTATATCTAAAGGGGGTGTAAATACATGTAATAGACTTATATGTTATTTAAAGAGTACTTAAGAGAGCAATATCTGTCCTTCTGACACATAGAAAAGAACATTTTGACAAACTACGAAGTCATCCAGAGAAAAAAGCTGCATCTGCTGGAAAATTTGTGGTGTGGAGAAGAGACCAATTCAGTCGACCACGATCAAGACCTATTCAAAAAGTAAAGGTGTGAACAGATAATAATTTCAAGTATTTTTCTGGGCTGAAAATATTTCTTGTTTGTATTTCTTCCTATTAATTTGTATCTTGTAGGAAATTGAATACCAGAACCTCAGATTCCCCACAGACTTGTCAAATCCGTATGCTGTAGCTACTGTTTTGAATCAGGAACCAGGCAAATTGAGGATTAAGGACTTGAAAGAAGGTAATGTAATTAAACAGCATAACCTTGGTTGTAGCATTATTTGTGATTTTTGATGAGGAATTCTGCCTCAGAATTGCTGTGGTGATGTGATTGTAGTTTCTGTAACAAATCTCACCTTAGCTTTGTGTCTTAATGAGTTCAGTTATCATAACAGTGGATTTCCCAGTTAAAAATTCAATCTATTTTGAGATGTCATATGCCTTTCTGATATTCCTGCAGTCCTTTCCCAAGACTGTGAAGGGATAAAAACAAGACAGATGAAAGAAACTCTATTTCAACTGAAAGTTAAACAAAATATTCAGGAAGAGGAAGCAAATCATCTGAAGTGGTAAGTGTTAGTTAACCACCTTAACAAAACTGGGGTTTGCTTAACTAAGGCCTCTATGAATTATATATGCAATATCCACTAGTGCATAATGCTGCCATTTCATGTCCTGATAGGTTTGTTTTACAGCTAAGTTACTGTTGGTTTACTTTTTTTTCTTTTTCCTCTTCTGTCTAAGTGCAGTCTCAGCAGTAATCCATAGTAGCACCTAATGAGGTCTTTGATTGTGTTATGGTTGTGTTCAGAAAGACACCTGCTGAAAACGTTGTTCACTTAGCCTTGTTCTCAGACATCTCATTTTGTGCCCTTAAGGACAAAAGAAGCTTTTGTTACGGTTTTCAAAAAGTCAGGGTTAAGATGTGTAATGGAGTGAACAGAATTGCACGTGTATCAAATGGCATAAAGCAAAACACAGTCATGTGTGTAAGCATAGTATGGTTTCATTTGCAGTCTGCAGATCTGCCCTTTATGCTAAACATTATGGATCCCTGAACCCTTTAGGAAGAGGAGAATAAGTCTGTTAGCCTTTAAATAAAGCAAACTGTGCATTAAGTAAAGCATTTTTCTTGCCTCTGCTGTAAATGCAGGCAAGTTCATAAAGGCCAAGATCCAATCTCTGTGGAATTTAAGAAAGAGGTTATTGAAAACCGACAGAGGGAAGAAGAACAATACAAGGTTAGTTTTTCTGGGTTTTTTTCCTACAAATTTTAAATAAACCTTATACTTTCAGATTATACAGCACACTAGTAAATTGTATCAAGTTCTCTACATCTTCAGTTTTTCTTCATAGATCAATGCAAACCTTACTAGTTGTACAGGTTACTGCAGTTATATCTTTATTATGACTGTGTATCACCATTTCTGAGGTGGTTTTTATCTTGGAGGTATACACAGAGAAGGATAAGTTATTAATGGAAATGTGACTAGATGTTTACAGATTTGCACCCAGCCACATCACAGTGCAACATTGCAGCGTAATCCTATCAGCACCACGGCTAGATCCAACCTGCTGTTTATATTGTACCTCTCTGAAGAGCTGATGTCCTGAATGGCTTAGTCAAAGAGCTAAACACAGTCATTACTCTCACACAGAGCCATGGGGAGGTAAATCATCAGGTTGTTCTTCTGAACCTTCATTTTCACTCTCTTTGGTTTCTTACAGTCATCCCAGATTGCAAGTCATCTTCCATGGAGGTGACAGCATCAATACGTGGTGGCAGGAAGTACTTTTCCCAGGTGGCGCAGCCCGCAGGGACAAGTGGGGCTTGTCCCTCTTATCCTGCCTCCTGGATATTCAAGTAGCTTTTAATATTCCACTGATTTCCAAGGAGCTTCTTATGGGAGTAAAATTACTTATAAATAGGGTAAAAGCTTAATTTATACAGTGAATTAGGCACAGTGAATTAATTCAAACATTATATTTAATATTAACAAAGGAGAAAGTGAGTAAAAAGAGAATCTAAATTGTGAGATTGATGTATGACTGAATTAGATGAATATTAACTTTGTTTAGAAACATTTATTTACCTACCTGTTAGCCATAGAGGCTCTGGAGATCTCTGGCTGGTTTTAAAGTTGCCCCCACGACTTTCTCATAGAGGCATACTTTTTCTGATGCTGTCAGTTTTTTCACCTTGAGTGTCATTAGGCTTCACAGAGTATTTATTATCCTTTCATCATTTGCTCGAATGGCCACTCTGTTATACAGCCTGGGAGTGGCTGTCCTGGATACCTTCAACTGGTCTGTCTTCCACTGTACTAACTAAAACCTTAGTTTATGAAAATCATGGAAATTTGACTCTGCAAAATAATGCCAAATCTTTGTTTAAGACATAATGGTGTGTTGGAAATGAAACAATAGGTGAGTAGGTCTGGGGTGAAAGAGGCACAATGAAAAAAAGTACTGGTATTCATCCAGCATGTCTGAACACTGAGAGGGCCTCAAAGAAGAGAAGTTAATGTCAGTAGTAAACTGTTTCACACATGCTCAAGGGTTGCAGTAATCACTGTCTAGAAGAGAATGAGGACTGTGTTTTGTCAAGCACCTCCAGAATATCACAGCGTAAATTAGTTCCACTAATTGTAAGGGAGGAAAGAATCCGTGGATGCTTTGTTCTAATGTAATTGTTCTTCCTGATGATAAATCAGATCCAGAGAGGAGATCCTATCGTAGAACAGGAATTTCAAAGGAACGAAGCAGAAGTTTCTTTCAGGCGTGTTATCCGGCCTGTGGACCAGGTTTGTTCATATGTTGTTATTGCCTGCCACATGTTATTATCATCTGTAAGCTAACAAACAGATATTTGGCACTGCATATTTTCCCTCTTAATAATCCTATTTCTGTGTCAGTGTCTTATTTCCCACTTTCAGTACAGTAGTGCAAGCATTGTGCTACATGTGCAACACATCTTCTGACATTCTAATTAATATGAGAGGCAAGTGGAAATTTGCAGGCCTGAATCATGTTGCTTCATTCTGAAAGTTCTCTTAGGAGTAGCTTTGTCATGCCTAAACGTAAGGTTAAACATATCACAAAGTTTGCAACCTTTACCTGCAGGTCAGATTGATGGGAACCTTTCTGGTGCTTAGATTTTTTTGTCCTTCTCTGTGGTGTGAGGTACTTCCTAAGATCCATTTCCTAGGATTATTTTGAGCTTTATTTACTAGATAACTTTGAATAGTAGCAACACAAACTGCCTTCTTGAGGAACATTGTACCTGTGGGAGTTGTCTTTTGCTATATACATCTGTTACAATGTGCTGAAAATTGTTTGTTGAGGCATGGCATGGGACTGTGTGGAGCTGGTGTTCTGGGGGCCTTCCTAATCTAAATGTTGGTCGGGCAGCTGCCCTCCTCTTAAGAGGTACTGTACTCCAGGAACACTGGAGTGTCTTCTAATGCCATGTTCTTCTGTCAGTTTAAAACTGGAGAAGAGATTAATGCATCAGGAAGATTTACTTGTGTTCAAAGAGTATTCCAACAATTTAAGACATTAAATATAGAGACATCACCTCTTCCTCAAGTACGTGCAGAGCCAGAGATCACTACATATGGGGAGATTGTCTGAGGAATTATCACTCTAAATTTACTCCTGCCTTTTGCCCTTCTGTATGTGTGTACTGTCAGCCATTATTGGAGTCAGGATGGGCCAATGGTTTGAGTCCATACAGCTATTCCAACTTCACATCCATACAAGACGAAGTGTGGATTTGGTAGAGAACTAATACATTCTTTCCACTGTCTGACTGCCCGTGTATTGCACTGAAGTAATACTATGTGGTTGTCATTTGTGTGCATGCAAACCATGCCACGTTATCTCTGTGTTCCCATAGTGCATCTGCAAATATTTGTCAATTACCTCACATTAAGCCCTGTAGTGAAGGCTTCTGGTTAAATGCCAATACTCAAATGTTTTCACTTGACATAATTTCAGTGTTTAGAAACAGTGTAGAGACTCAGGCCGAGAAGTGGCTAATTGTGAAAAAGGTGTGATTTTTCTTTTCAGTTTTTTTTGGTTTGTTTTTTTTTTTAATACCATGCAGTATCCAAGTGTCCATCCCACATTTGACCTGCTCCGTAATGACCCTTGGGACAACAGACACAGGATGTTCAGGAAATTCCAACAAGCAGCATACAGGGTAATGTGAACAACCAGAATGCAGTGATATGGCATGACCCGTGGAAATAGCATAAGAGAACGTGCAAACCAGCACATAAAGAGTCTTCACAGCTAGCCAGGAATTTGATAGTTTAATAAATATGTCCCTGCTTCACTAGGAAATAAGGATCTGGAGTAACTTTTGTATCCAGCTGGTGCTCCTGCTGGTGCTTAATATTGCAATCAATGCTAAGCAAATGCAAATGGATTTAGATTTATTTTTTTAAGTGAAAAATACTTCTGCGCAGAAAAGAGCATATTTTGAAATGCATATAGTTGCTCAGTTGTGGGTCCCTAGGACAAGAAGGACATGAATAAGCTGGAATGAGTTCAGTGTAGAGCCACCAAGATGGACAGGGTCCTGATCACTCGTTCTGCGAAGAGACACTTACTCAGCCTGGAGAGGGAAGGTGGAGGGAGGGAGCAGTACCTTCCAACACCTCTAAGGAAGTTCTTGATGATGGACCCCATATCTTTGGAGTGGTGCATGGTAGGAGTAGGGGAAACAATGGGCATAAATTCAAATAAGAGAAGTATAGACCATGTGTAAGGAAATCCTTTTTCACCATGAGGACAGTCATTCATTGGAGCACATTACCCAGAGAAGTTGTACAGTCTACATAATCCTTGGATTTTTTCAAGACCAGACTGGATAAAACCCTGAGCAACCTGGTCTTATCTCATCAATGACCTTTCTTGGAGCAGGAGGTTGGACTAGGACCTTCCAACCCAGGAGCTAAAGATTAACCAGCAAAATCACATAACTCAGTGGATTTAAATATTATCTTCCATCTCACTGCTCTTTTCCCAATAAATCTAAATGTAGCAAGTGCTATGGATGTTTCCTACTTTCCTAGTATCCAGTTTGGATATTCTTCTCCAACCTTTTCACAATATTAGGCTCCATACAGAGGTCCCGAAATGAAATACTCTTTCCTGTATTGCACAAATAAGGAGGTGGTTAAACGGACCCTTCTGGAATTAAAACCTAGGACTCCTCATTGTGATATATGGCACCAGGCAAATTTCACAGTGCAGGTTAATACTTATTCTCCTCATTCATAAAGCCACAAGTATTCATATGGCCCTGATCAACTAACTATCTACCCACTGTTGAATCTGTATATGCCGATAGACACAGCTGAAGGATTAGGACCTAGCTAAAAAAAGTCTGATTAACCTGTAAGACTAAATGAAAACTTGAATTGTTTTTGTTGAATGTCACGTTAGAGTTGAGATCCATTCTACATCTGTCCTTTCCCATTTTCTCTCTCCTGAATAGAAAACTAACTGTAGTTAAAAAATCTGAGAGATGGCCAAGTGAGCTCTGTAGAATAAATACAGTTGTAATGGGTGTTTATTTCTATGGCTGTAAACCTTACAGTGTTCAGCTTAATGTTAAACTTTAAAATCATTCTCTCAGATTGTTATACAGAATCGGCTAAATCGTTTACTGCTTTTGTTCCGTGGGCTAAGAAGAGAAGCCAGAGGCTTGGAGGAAGGCTCTGTGTATGGTAAGGAGTAGAAGAACAAGTTGATATTTTGGCCGTGAATTATGCAGGTTGTACTGCGTATGTCCGGTGTGTTACGTATAAAGACAGAGTCCTTAGAAAGGAGTCTTCCAACAAAAGAGAGCAGTGTGACAAAGTAGAATCATAGAATCACAGAATGGTTCAGGTTGAAGGGGACCTTTCAAGGTCATCTAGTCCAACCCCCCTGCAATAAGCAGGGACATCTTCAACTAGATCAAGTTGCTCAGAGCCCTGTGCAGCCCAACCTTGAATGTCTCCAGGAATGGGGCATCCTCCACCTCTCTGGGCAACCTGTTCCAGTGTTTCACCACCCTCATTGTAAACCATACCTTCCTTACACCTAGTCTGAATCTACCCTCTTTCAGTTTAAAAACATTACCCCTTCTCCCATTGCAAGAAGCCCTACTAAAAGGTAGAAATGGCTATAGTCAAAATACATCTATTTTTCATACACATTATTTACCAGATTTAAAAAAATGTGATTAACTCTTCTTAGGAGCCTTGCAGTTTATCTGCTTAATAATAGGACAGAAGTTGTGGATGTTCCATCACTGGAAGTGTTCAAGGACAGGTTGGATAGGACTTTGAGTAACCTGGTCTAATGGAAGGTGTCCGTGCCCATGGCAGGAGGGTTGGAGGTGATCTTTAAAGGTTCCTTCCAATCCAAACTACTCTGTGATTCTACTTACAGGCCTGAGGAACATTGAAAAGGCAGATGGGACTGTATGAGAAACAGACAGGTAGGTAAACAGATCAGGGGGAGCCCAAGAAGTTAGAGACATAGGATAAGAGGAGCTTGTTGCCTGGAGGATGGAAGAGGGAAAGACACCTGACCGTGATGAAGGCAAGGTATCTGAACTCAGTGAAATGAGATGGTAGGAACTATGAGATACATGGCTTGGCCAGTACTGGTTTGAGTTTTCCTCCTTACATTTTTCTCATAAAAGTGCTTTAAAAAAATCACTTTTCTTTACAGTGAAATGAAAGTGCTGGCCTGGATAAGTCACTTGTTTTTTAACAGCCATAGAAGGAAATTGGCCTTGGATGGGAGTCACAGTTGGATATACTGGGGACAGAAGAGAATTTGCGTCTCTTGTTTCCCACTCCCTTGTACACACACAGTTTGACAACTGCTGAAACATCTTTCCATATCAGGCCTTCTCCTGCTTCTGCAAGTAGTCACTTTTAATTCCCAGAATGCAGGAGCTGCAGGGATGTTTCAAGAAGGCATAACATCAGTTAGTGTAACAGAGCCCTTCTGACCTGTCTCTGTCTTGCTGAGCAGAATGAGAGAGAGGACCATGCTGGAATAAATGAGGATTAATGTCCTTTTAGAAAAGGGGAAATTAGATCTGTCTGATAAATTAGGTCTGTATGATAAGATCTTGATATTATGCCTGCTGGTTTGTAGATGTGGCATTTAAAGTCTTTAGGAAATATTATCTTTTTATATTGAATTATGTATACTTATATTTA